TTATATTAAATTGTATAAATTCCATTTCTAAAAGCCAAGTATTTTCAAAACCAATCTGACTTTTACATACACAGACTTAACTTAATTCCAAAGTACTAATATGTGAAGGTTCATATGCCTGTGAACTTGCCTAAGGATTTCTCAAAAAATTTATGTCAAATGCATCCAATAAACATGCTTTGAAGTGCTTAATGGAGAGTACCAATAAAACACTTAACGCTTGAAAAATTTCTTATAATTGAAAACTGTCAATAAAAATTTCCAATTCATATTTGAATAATCGTGCATCCTGTTTATCCTTATCGTATGCGGTTAGAGTAATTTGGTACTGTAAACCGAATTTAGTTATGGTCTTGGAACGGCAATTAATAATTGACACCAAGTAGATCCAATTTTTGTGAACTTTATTGGACTAGAAAAATATTTGTGTTTTGAAGTGCATAATTTTTACAAATCTAAAATTTTATGCATCATTAATGAATGAGTTTTGCCTTGGAAAGGAAGTGAGAAAATTATAATTAATTTTTGAGAGTCAAGAAAATAATTTTAATATGTTGTTTGGTGAGAGTCTTTTTTTCAAAATTTTTGTGTGAAATTCCCAAAGTCATGTTAACGCCTAAACTTATCCTTATCCTTTTTTATTCTATTCTGAATTGATAAAGGAACAACTGTTGTTTGATCCAATATCCGAATAAATTGGTTTTTCTAAAATACTTTGATCCTTAATGTGCGGAAACTTCACGCTTTTCTAATTAATTTTCATACTTGTTACCGAATCCTTTACACTTACACTTTCCTATTGAAACTTATTGAATGCGATACAGAGTTCTTATAGATTGGATTTTTGGCAGATGGCAAACGATATCAATACAAACACCAAATGTTTTAAAATTTTATAAAATTCGTTGAAAATTTTACTAAAAAAATTTTAAGATAGATATTTTAAGTAAAAATTGAATATTATAATTAAAATGAGTAATAAGAAAAGAAGGTGTTTAACATATATTCAACGACATAAAACCAAAAAATATAATATATGTATAAAAAATGTTGAAAATATATATAGAATATTCAGATCCTCTGGCTCAATCGGCAATTAATTAATTGAAATAATTTTTTAAAAATATGTATTAAATGATTAAAATTTGATCAAATTGTTGTGAAGACAATTATAGTACAAAGGCCTTTAAGATTTGAAAAAAGAATTGCCGAAAGTATCACATTTCTATTATATAGTCCTGATAATTTAACGAATTATAGTATTATAGTTTCAATCCTATATAAGATGTAGCAAAGCGCTTTTATTATACCTTCATATCGAACTGTGTCTTGGGTTGGGATCCAAGAACGGTCGAGTCTACGTCCCAAAGTCATTCGTCCCTCATGACGACCAAGTGCTCTGTACCACCCCTCAAAGGGATTTTCAATGCAAGTTTGTATTCGTATTTGACATTTGTTTTGCTTGTCGCTGATGTACTTCAGGAATAATTTACTCTTCCCATTTCTGCACAATCGTACTCCTCAAAGTTGTCCAAAACTTCGGCTTCTTTGTGGGTTTTTTCACTTTGTCAGGCGTGAAACAATTTCGTTGATAGAAATATATATCCAATAGATTTCAATAACAACTAGTAATTGAATAAAATTTGAAGCCATATATATATTTAAAAAAATTAAAGGTCAAGATCTAAAAACAATATGTCATACACAAAAATACATACTATTATACAAAAATTTGCTGATACATATAAAAAACAATTACGAAAACAAACAAGCAGAAATAGTCCACATATCACAGCTAGTAATTTTAAAAAATGAACTAATAAAATGAACTAATAATTTAATAAATAAAGGACGAAAGCATACTAGTACAGATCAGTCGCACAACACAACATACAAACGTCACTATCCGCATAAGCATCGCATAACTAAGATATAAGATAGTAAATTAATGTTAATAACACCAAGAGTACAGAATAAAATAGAAATTTGAGTACGAATATGCACAAGACGATGCACTCTTAATAAGTAAAGAAAAAGAAGGAAAATAGAAAAAAAATAGATTTCTGAGAAAACATTATGTCCAACTGATTAAAGAAACTTATCAAATCTTGAGCAACAAAAGCAAAAATAGTGCTCAATTTGCGCTATTAATGTTATTAGCAATAAAATAACCAAAACCAAAATATCATATCGACATATTGTCATATTATGTTGTTTCAAAACCCTCTAAGTTAAGCCCCCACAAACCAAAAGGTAATAATAGCTTTTAGTTCCTAATTACACAAAAGTGTCTGTACACGCCTCCTGGCAATTGTAAGATAGAAATAAATGGATAAATGTTTTATCCTGAATTTCACATTGTCCGATATTACACATTGGACATACACAACCATTGTGCCTCCAATACTCACTTATGTTGCTAAAGCTTGGAGGACAACCCAAATACGGTTATAACACTCAAAAACTCACCAGAACTTACAAAACAGAATCTGTTGGCATTATAGGAGTACCTAGGACGGCCCTTTCAGACACCCTAATCGTAATGCTATATCTGCTACTCATTAATCTTTATATTAAAAATGTTGTTTACAATAACGCTGTCAGACTGAAAGTGACAGACGTCTGGACAGAAGGAATATATAGACATAGCTGACGTCACTTTTATCTGAGTACTTGAGAAATTTTTAAGAGCAGTACTTACCTCCTTTTTCTTCAGCTTGCCAATAATGAATGGAAGACACTAAGATCTACATTAACTTTCCTGTTAATATGACTCTCATATAACAGAATCAAATTTTAGGAACTCTTTGGAAGAAATCGCAGGAATACTACAACGATTACTAGAACCACACGTAAAAAATAATGCCTTTTAATAGTGCTTTCTTTTAATAATCATTGCAGAAGTTGTGGAAACTTATAGGAAAAACAAACCTTCGAGAAAGAAGTAGTTTGAGAAAGAAGGTGCACTGGTAAACCATGTCTTCATTTTAGTGAACAAGTTAATGAAGAAGTCCAGCAGTGTGTTTTGAGAACAGTGCTGTAGCAGGCCAAAACCCGATAACAGAATGTTATGGCCATTTAAGTAAGTAAGGAATAAATGCTTTCCATTAAAGTTATGCCTTAAAACATACAAAAACTTAAATTTAAATTTTAGATATTAAAATAAATAAATGGTCATGTCATCTCTTCATGTTAAGTTTAATAAACTTAAGTTCGTTTAGTTTTCATACAAAATTTTTAACTTCAAATACATTGACAATTCGGAATAGGAAAGCTGTGAAAAAAGTTATTGGAGAAAAGAAAAATGACTTGCACTAACAACCCTCATAAAATTAGTTACAAAAATAAACAAAAAAACAAAGGAGCAAGGAACAACGACCTATCCATGAATGGAATACAATGCAAGAATTATGTCAACTGCTACGTGGGTGCAAAAATGCCAAACCAACAGAGAACTTAAACAGGCAGAGAGACCCCAGCACCCGGTCTAGTACTAAATAAACGTGCACCAAAAGCATTTCGAAATTAATTTTACATATTTGTATATCCTGGTCCAACGGCAGGCAGCAGCCTTCACGCTTTAATTGGCTGCAAACGACAAATGTCATACATTTCACTGATGTCAAAACTCAAAGCAACTCAAAGCCACAGTGGCAGCCATTGCAGTGCGCAGCGGTAACAGTATAAATGACAGTAGCAGCAAAACTGACAGCTGCTGTTACTGCTGCTTCGTTAACATTTACATTGATGTTGAGTTCATTGTGGATTTTCCTCAGGACTACGATCATCGCGTATAATTTTTATACCCTATTGTTGTTGTTGTTCTTGTTGTAGTTTTTTTTTTAATTAAAACAGAAAGGGGAAAAAGTGTTTGCTTGCACACGAACAATTCCAAACATTTATAAAAACTATTGAAGATGATATTTTAAACTTGCGACGAACATTAAACAATAAGTAATAAATACTCCCTTTTGTGCAACCAATCACGTTACAGTCGATCTAAATACACAGACCCTTTTCGAATGTTACAAATACATGCTTCGCTTGCAGTTCATATCAATGTGTTATAAATGCAAGGCGTGGTTTTGATATGCACTCAATTCAATATAGTATATTTTTATAGTTGCACATACATACACATATTGAAAGTCATCCCCGCATATAACCCACATAAACACACACAACACACACAAAAGCCAAAACAACTCACACAACCACTTTAGTGTGGTAAAGTTGTGTCTTCCTCGCTTCATTTCGTTATAGCACCGCGATTGATCGTTGCCATTGTTGTATATCGCGTCACACCGCGCTCTTGAATGTTTTTGATATCGAACCGGCTCTCAAGTTTCTACTTTATTTGTGTTACTACAATTTTTTCAATTTTTTGTTATTGTTTCTTATTGTTGCCAAAGTCCAACCCACTTTGGGCGCATATTTACAAGCTTAATGGAAAAACAACCCAATACTGTTCGTTTTTTTTGTTTTGTTTTTTTGTTTTGTATTGATATTTCGTCAAACCAGTTTATTCGTCGTGATCTTGCATTCTGGCTTCGTTAATTTATCAGCTTGCTCGCGCGCTCTTTAGTTGTGGACCAAGTGTCGTGCTGTTTGATCGTGAAGGTGCGCGAAACAACAAATGCTTCATGTAACGAGAAACACTTTTTTGAAAATGTATGGACATCCGACGGAAATACGTGCGCTATGTATATAATTTCGATATTGTTTATTATGGATTCATTCCTGAAGGAACTGAAGCAAATTGTTAGATTTTTATAATTGTGCTCTAAAAAATGATATCATAATAAAGAATTCTATTTATAATTAAAAGTTATTTTAAAAAAAAAAAAACCGTACTTATGAAAAATACAAATGAAGTGGAAATTTGGGTGCAATTTTTTTTGGTGCGTTTAATTTACCAAAGTTTATTAAACAAATAATTTCCAAAATATATATTTTGGAAAATTTTTAAAGTTCCTAAGTACTAATAATAATCGCTAACAATGGATATGACCAGCGCGAACCCGTTAAATATGCGTCCCTTCATATCTGGGTACCCATTTCAAGGTAAATATATGCTACATACAAAATTTCAAGAAATATATTAGGTAAATTTATATATTCTATAATGAATATATTAAGAAAACTAACATTGTCTTTATATGTAAAATAGCTGAAATAGCATAATATTGTTCATAAAAATTTTATGTAAATATGCAAATGTATATAATTTCTATTATCGAGAAATCATATCTTTGAATCATATCTTTCTATTAGAGTTATTAAAAGATATTTGAGGAACTGTATATGAAACAGCAAACCGTTATATAATGCGACGAAATAGATATCATGAAAATATTGATCCCACTATTTTATTATGTATATATATATTTTATATACATTTTTATTAAATAACAGTCAAAGATTCTTAAAATATTATCGACAAATTTAGCTTAAAATCACATACATTTTTATTAATTAACAATCAAAGATTCTTAAAATATTACCGACAAATTTAGCTTAAAATCACATACATTCATTTTTGATATTGGCTCAGATGTTACTAATATATTTTAACTGAACTCTACATATATCAATTTTAGATTTAAGCTATCCGTATGATAATGTACTAACTACAGAATTTGAAATAAAAATAACTTCCAAAGATATGTAAAATAATTATTGCTAATAAATTTAGAATATAAAACACATACCTACATATATTATGTCCCTTCATGAGTACACATTATCGCTAAAACCATTGAACTGGTACTTATATACCAGTATATGATGATTTCGTTTCAAATAAAACTAAACCACTCTTCAAAGAGGGGAACATTATCTATAGTTTATAAATATAATAAATGTTCCATTAATATAAAACAATTTGAATACACTTTATTTTTAAGCAATAGAACCAAGAAAACTTTAATATATAGGTATATATAATATCTATGAACAAACATAAACTAATTTGAATACAGATCTATTCGAAGTCACTCTATTTTAAAACAATAGAACCAAGAAATTCCTAATACATAAGAATCTATGGTGTCTATAAACTAATACAAAGCAATTCAAATACAAACCTATTCGAAATTACTCTATGAAACAACAGAACTAAGAAAACCTTAATACATAAACATCTATGGTATCTATAAGCTCATATAAAGCATTTGAATACACACATATTCGAAATCACTCTATTTTATAACAATAGAACCGAGAAAACCCTGATGCATTAGTATATCAGATTAGGTCAGATTTAGTAAATTATTTATAGGTTGATACTGATATAACAAATATCGAGATACATATATTTTATCATAATCATAAAATTTTATATTAAATCATTACAAGAAAATGAAATCAGGGAAACAATATCTAGATCTCGCATAACCAAAAAATAAAAATATACCAGATAGATTTGCATTAATTTTCACTAGTATAACCTACTATTCAATCTTGTATACTCAGAGAAATTCAGTTCAAAACTCTAAATTTATTTTATTTTAATTCTTATTTTATATTATATCATCTTATTTTATATATTTATATTTTATATTAGTGTAATTCTATAAAATATTTTTGCACAGAATAAGTTATGATAATCAAACCGTTATGAATAGCTATCTCTACTATTACTATACTCTCATGTTAACATAACATCTATGAAGAACCCTGGGTTTCTAAAACAATTTCATTTTAAATTGTCATTAACAGTTGTACATTATCATGGCCCATGGCCTGGTTGTATACCTTGATACTAGTTCATTGTCTTATATTGATTACGTACCGGGATACAGTTTAAGTGTACTATAAAAAACAATATATCTTACGTTGTTCTATAGGCTAACTTCTGTTATAAGTTATTTCAAAACATAAAAAATAATTATATATAAACAATAAGTTTACAAAGAATAGGTATAAAAATGTAAGCTTATTACATCCATTTTAAAAATTGTAAAAATTACTGATCTCAGGGAAAAGGTGTTGGCAAATATATATGGGAAAAAATACTGGTATATCGTCTTAAATAAAAACTTAGCCAAAATTTTAATAAATCACTTTAAATTTAGCAGTAAAATGCAATATACTTATAAGCTTGTTTTTCAAAAACCCAATTAAGTAGAAAATATTTAGAAATAAAACAGTTTTTTGTTATACATTAAGACCGAAAAGTTTTCGGAAATTCTCATTTAAAATTCGCGCGCTGTATATTTTCCGATATTTTAAGTTTATGTAGTTTGGCAGCACTGTCCTTAATTACTATGCCAAAAATGAGCGCGATCTGTCAGACAGTTCGTTTACGGCAGCTGTTGAAACCAGTTCACCTCAGTAGGGCGTTGCGAAAAAAACAATGGAAAAAAATATTGAACAAAGAGTTTGCATCAAATTTTGTGTTTCGAACGAAATTTCGTGTGCAGAATCGTTGCGAATGCTACAAAAGGCTTATGGGGAATCAGTTTTATCGAAAACTCAAGTTTATGAGTGGTACAAAGCCTTCCAGGACGGTCGTACGACCGTCGAAGACATTTCGCAACGCACTACTGAGGTGAACTGGTTTCAACAGCTGCCGTAAACGAACTGTCTGACAGATCGAGCTCATTTTTGGCATAGTAATTAAGGACAGTGCTGCCAAACTACATAAACTTAAAATATCGAAAAATATACAGCGCGCGAATTTTAAATGAGAATTTCCGAAAACTTTTCAGTCTTAATGTAAGTTATGTTTAAATCTGAATCGTTAGTTTTGATTCAAACTGTAATGAAAATTCTAGCTGGAGATATTCATATACTATATTTGAAGAGAATATATTGACATATGCAATAGCTTCTCATACAAAAAATTGTATCTGAATTATTAACTTATATCGATGATATATGAATATAAAATAAGCCCTTTCAATTTTTGGTAATGCTATTCAATATAACTTAAAAAATTTAACATCTTAAATAAAATCCTATGCTACGTAATATGTGAATTTTTTTTTAGGAACTTGGGTTTAAAAACATTATTTTGAAAGAATTTAATATTTAAAAAACAACAGATCTGAATGAAACTTAAAAACAATATTGTATATTACATAAAAGTAGCTAATTTTCAATTAAATCAAATAATTATTTATATTTGCTCATTTTATACGACAGTTATAAATCATAATCTCTCAGCTGGATTTAAAAATTCCGATCAAATAAACAGTATTACTTTCCGAAAATTCCAAATTCTTTTGATCTATCTTAAAAACTATGAGAAAAGTGGACGCAAAGGTAGACTGAGATATATTCGTATTTAAACAAACCCGACTAAATATATTCATGACTTCCAGTTGTTCAACTCTGTGGGATCTTTGATGTTATTTAACTAAATAAGAAAGTGTTTGATGATCTGAGATATATTTGTATTTAGATGAGCTCGATTAAATCTATTTATGTAATTCTGTTGCTCAAGAACATAGGCAATATGTACGATCTTTTATGTTACTTGAGTAAATAAGACAGTATTTCACTACATATCTAAATGTTTTAAAATTTATAGTGACTAGCGTTGTTCGTGAAAGTAACATATGATAAGGAAACAATAATTTGTGTTGCTTAATGACGAATTTTGGTGGAAATAAATGTTACGAGGAGTTGTCTTTATAATTATCTGATTGCTATTTTCAAATATAAATCGATTCTTGAATTAATAAAAATGTTATACATAACTTACATACCTTATTTCAAATGAATGCTATTATATACAATAACATTTATAAAAATTTTTAAATTTCATTCTCAATTTATCTAGCTCAAAGTTTTTAAATAAACTTTATTTGATGAACTTAGAAAAAAGTTGAAATTTTGATTCTCTACCTCAAAAATGGCAGAACATAACAGTACAATAATATGCGACGTTTTTAGATCACTTGGATGGTAAAATTCTTAAGTTCTTAAGTTGCCACAAACACCTCACAACGTATTGTGTTGTGAGGTGTTATCACACCCACCAGAAGTGTCTATATCTGAGTTTTATTTTATTAATTCATAACTTTTTAAATAACATATTTAAGAATATTGTGAAAACATATATTTAGTTAAAGTAATTCAATATGGTTAGTAATTGGAATAGCCATATAAATGTGCAACCGAGTATGCAATTTTCCTTAAAGAAATTAATTTTAATAACTTTATCTTACCAATATTTATTATGAGAAATTTTTTCTACTACGAATAAGCGTTACTTTTACATAGTTTGACAAGTCTTAAGTAGAGTATATAACGATATGCAAAGCGCCTATGTTTAGTATCTTAGTATTATTCATATTAGTATTGAATGATTAATTAATTCATTTACATATTTGAGGAAACAGAAGTAATTAACTGCTCCAAATGTAACACTTTGTGAAAGCGAGTATTTTAGTTAATTTTTTTAAGTATTTTTAATTTATTAAGAATTATATCGGATCTTAGTAGGAATTAAAAATTAAAGTTCCAAAAAACAATATTCGGTAAAACATTAGACTTAATGTTCTTCATCTTCAGTCTTCTTCTTAATCGTCAATATTTATACGTGTTCGAAATGATAAAAAATATATAAATAAAAACATATGTGAAATAAGACATATGAAAAACATTTTTGATACTGAAACTATTCTTACATTTTATTATTAATGTAAATTTTAAATCGTACGTTATCACAAAACAATATAATATTCTCCGTACCTCAAGTTCTCCAACTTTTTGTATCTGACAACATAGTCCATTTACGTAGAATATCATCGCCTCATTTAATGAAAATAACTTTCAACTTGGGAATAAAAAAATGATCTCTCAAAGAAAGCTCTTTCAATATTTGTCAGAATTATCAAGTAAAAAAGCAATTTTTGAATTGATCGACCTCGACTGTCGTCAATGGAAGAGTTAACCGCTAGAAATGGCTTAGCGCAAATGTTTTTATTTTGCAAATGGTTACTTTATTTTATTTAATACTTTTGATATAAAATATATGCGAGTGCCGTTAGAACGTTCCAATTATTATGTATGCTATATTTTTTGAGATAGTCATTCACTTATACTTATTGACTTACAGTGACATACTGTACAAAACTCAAAGGGCTCAAAGTCATTTGAAACTTTTAATAATGCTTAAGATGTTCTCTAGCATAATCTGTAGCAAAATAGCTCTTCTGGCTAATAAATATCCTCTAGAAAATGACTATTTAGCATCTTTAATAGTATGTTTCCACCGGCTTCGTTAGACCAGTTAACTTACTTGAGATTGCTTGAGTTACTTGAATCTCAAGTAAGTTAACTGATGTAACGAAGCCTGTGAAAATGTGCTATAATTATCGTTTAGTATGCATTAAACTATCACAAAGTAAATATGGAGCAATATCTACACCTTGTTATAGCTACATCAGGAATCATTGAAAGGATTTAATCTTCTACCATAGTTTCCTAACCAACAGTTCACTTATAAGGTTCTATAAAAATAGTCTACTTTATTTGCTCACATCATATCAACAAAGTCCTGTTTAAGATGTTGTGTTTAAGAAATTATGTTTTTGATATTGCAAACTCGCAAACTTTTTGTATAAATATTTATTTAAATATGCTTGAGCTGTGATTTCAGAGAGTTAATATTTTCTATTCCTTGCTCTATTCCTTGTTGTGATTTTCACCATCAATTTTGTGATTTAGGATTAGGTTTATATAAATGTTATAAGGTTGTCGAGTTCAGCAAATATTGATTACCATTTATTTTGTATTTATTACTATATATTTATTACTATATAATCTGTATATAAACATATATATATTTTATTATTTTGCTCTGGATGAGTTTTCTTAGCTATCTTATATGTCGACTAAAATTGAAAGTGGACAAATTCTTTGATATAAATTTTTTTTTGTAGTTTTTTAAACCAAAGAATTAATTTTTGATTTTTTTCTAGTTTATTTTATACTTATTACTATATATTTAATATATAACAAACTTTCGTATTATTGATTCTACTCGTGTTTGCTCAGAGTAAGTTTTTTTTACACATAAACTAGTGTACATAAGTACACTAAAATAGCATTAATTCTTTAATATAATTTTTTTCGTTTCTTGAACGAAAAACTGAATTTACTCTATTTTGTGTTATATATGTATATTCATTGCATTATTGTAAATTAAAGTAGTTGAGAACTATAATGTCTTTTAATGATATTCAGATATAATTAAAAAAAAATATTATATTAAGTGATTAATTATAGAATAATCCCAACTCATATTTACATAAATTTGATATTTAATATTTGATACTCAAAAAGGTGATTGTATATTTCAGGTCAAGGTAGAGTTAATCAACTTGGTGGAGTTTTCATCAATGGTCGTCCGCTACCAAATCATATACGTTTAAAAATTGTTGAAATGGCCGCAAACGGTATAAGGCCTTGTGTGATCTCACGTCAATTGCGCGTATCTCATGGTTGTGTATCAAAAATTCTGAATCGCTATCAAGAAACGGGATCTATACGACCTGGTGTGATTGGCGGCTCTAAGCCAAAAGTAACATCGCCTGAAATAGAAGCACGCATAGAAGAATTGCGAAAAGCCAACCCAGGAATTTTTAGTTGGGAAATACGAGAAAAACTAATTAAGGTGAGAAAATTAATCATTTAATGATATATATATTTTTCTTTTTTTGTACAAACTATATTAATAATAATTTATTTACGACAGTTTTTGAACTTTGAACTGTATTTGCAATTATACCGAAGTTTGTTTTGTATATCTTCAATTACTTAACTTCCGCTGTCAGTTTGAAGTGCAGCAAGAAGATAAATTTTATTATTTAAGTGCTAAATGAAAACTGAAACTAGTAAATTTAATATTTTTTGTTTTGTTTTTTGTATAGAACTCATACTGGTTGTCAGACTGAAGTTTGCAAACAACTTGGTGTAATGTTGTTAAAAGCATTAGCCAACGTTACTATAAACAATACATTTTCAGGTTTGCAGGAAGCAATAAATTCTGTAATCACCAACTAAAGGTCATATACAAATAATACATTTGAACCTAACACCCGTATTAGAATTCTTTTTTTGCAAAAATTTTAACCCCAAAGATATAAACAAGAATGGCTGTGCTATTGTAAAATCAATTAAAAACAATGAATACATTGTGAATTCGTTCTCAATAGGAAAATCATTAAAGTACCGACATTAACTACAGTGTTTGCAAATAAAAGATCAGTGGTTACAAAAACCGCACAAAAGCCTTGAGTTTCACTAACGGAAGCTAAACAAACTTCCGAATTCCAAATAGTCACGTGTCTAGCAAGCCTTTAGTCTCTTTATCTGGCCAATAGGTTCCTTTGCATCTTGTACGACTTGCCGTATGCCAAACAAGACTCCCTCCCGCTGGTATTATTTATTACACGTTGCTTGCGACAAATTTCCATTTCTATTGTCTTCCTTTTTTTCTTTACTCATTTATCGCAACTTCAATATGTAGAATAAGCAGTAAATTTTATAGGTTCAGTAGTTTCGTAGGTTGTACTGGTACTAAAAACTCATTGACAAATTGTTGTACAAGGTTGGCAATGCCACCCAGGCCGTTAAGAAATTGATTATGGCACATACAACTTAGTAATGCTGCGGCAAGGTGCAAACACAAATTTTGACTTGCCAACTTCCGGTGTCTGGTTGTTGGATGTGATTGCCGATGTCGATGTCGATGTCGATGGTCGATATGAATGTAGATGTGGATGGAGTGCTGTTATTCTGCACATAAATTGGCACGCACGTTCATTGGTTGGCACCTTAAATATTTTCCAAAACACACAAATACAACATTTAAAACAATTTTTTTATGCCTCACTTGTAAGTTGGCTTAATTCATGTCACGTTGCCTGCATGCATTATCCTCTTTTATGCAATAATATGTCAATGAACATGCTGCCGCCCTTCTTTATTCTTCCATAAATTAGCGTAACTTTGGCTAATTGAAGCAAAAACTTAAGGAAAATATCTTGTATATAACAAAACAAAATCATATTTTGAGCCTACATCAATAGTTTGGCCCGTAAGCCGCCAGACCAATTGTCTAAACTGACTTACAATATCTGCACTGCATTGGATTGTTGCCTACCAAAGGCAGTGGTTGTTGGTTGATATGTTCGTCTGTCCGCAACTTTGTATGAATATTTGTTTTTATTCATATATTCCAGCACAATTTTCTTGTTTCAGTTACTTTTACTTTAAACCTTAATTAGTCACACTATACATGTGTGCCGATAGTGATGTCGATATCAATCCATCCATCCATCGATGTGATCGTTGTTGATACAAAAGTTTGATAAACTAGTAAAAAAAAACATATACAATATATATTTATATGTACGTTTGTGTGTGTGTGACTAAAATATATTAAATATTGCGTCCACATTAATGTAGCGATCAGAGGAGTGAAGATTGCCTCCAGGTGCGCTTCACGGTTTATTAGAATATATACGGTGCTTAGTCAGATCAATGCACAATATATGTACAAACATATGTTTTAAGAGAATATTCATAAAAAAAAACAACGCAAGATACAGCATCTGTCGTAAAAAAAATTGTATCTTTTTTTAAAACGTTTCAGACATGAGGTTTGAATTGTAATCCACAAATTTGTAGAATAAATCTCTATGATTTTAACAATCAATAATCCTAACTACACTCACTGTCATATTTATTTAGGAAACCAAATTTTTAGTGGTGTTATTTAAGTACGCTTCAAGTAATTAACAATTATTTAATTACGAGGGATCATTATTAGTTTTAGTAAGGTTAAAAGTTAAGAATGTAATAGGCTAATCAATTAACACAATTTTGTAAAGCTAAAATTATCATAAATTATAAAATTTTTTATATATAAAATTTTTGCACATTTTATTACTAAAATTGTATTATAATATATATGATGTGCAACTAATGCAAGTTACCAAATTTGATGATCAAAATAACTCTAAAAAATAAAATGTTTATGTTTTTAAAAATAGTTTTCAAATCATTAAAATAACAGCAATAAATGCATGAATTCCAAATAGAGTAAAGATATAGAGTAATCACTAATAGATAATTACTAATAAAAATTTGGTTTAATATATCATTAATAGCCATTCATTGTCATTCTTTAGGCCATTGCATATATTAAGTAATTCAAATATGTATAGAAAAGTGATTGTTTCGGGTTAGTTAAATGTATCTACTATATTTTGACATATTGAAATGCACTTGCAATAATAGATATAAAAATTTTGTATATTGTCAAAAAAATTTTCATGACTAAATGATTAAATTAAAATTGACAAACTAAAATAATAGACAAAATTAAAATATAAAAATGTATTACAAATCAATCTTGTAATAAAACTGCATACCAACATCAAATTCAGATACAGTAAGTGCTCAATTATATGAGGTAATTCACATAAAGGTTGTTTACATAATCGAAATGTTCAGTAAATTTTTTTAGGTTTTTTTTTTAATGTGATTGATAAAGAAATTTTTAGTAATTTAATCTTCATATAATAACTCTGAAAGGTTATCGGTCTCAAGCATTTGTATTTTTTTCGAAAATCATTTTATGCACAATTTGTTCTCGAAATTTCTTTAAAAGCAATAAGTTTCAAATATGGAGATTGTCTACTTCACAAGTGCTTGTTTGTTAAAAGTAGCCAAAACTTTTGTTGAACTAACAGTTTGTACAAATTGGTGTTCACTAGTATCTTTGTCGTCACTTTCATCAGTAACATTATCTCTAACTTTCATAGCGTCCATTTTAATCGTTTCTATGTTATCTATACATAACCTTCACTACCGAATATTGGAAATCAGTAAATAAACCATTAACTTCATCTACTAATGATTTAGATCAGACTGTCCAAAGCACGGCCCAAGGGATAGATGCGGTTAGTGGGTAATATACATGCGGCCCGCGACATTTTTCTAATCTACCCCAATGAACGTTAGTTTCATTCTCAAGCCTTATACCCACGTTTCATTGTTAGTTGAAACACTTTTGAGCCTATTTGTAACTCTAACAATGCCCTTAAACAGGCGGTAGTTTGGTTTCGGTCTTCGCTGAAATTGGATTAGTTTCGAAACTAATTTTCTTATATATAGCTTTATTATAAACACTTTGTAAAAGTCGTAGCTATGAGCCACAACACAGTTATCTTTATGGTAGCAATTCCTGTTTTAGCAAGTATGATCTGTTTAATTTTTTTTTTCTGTCATACCTTCGTGAGAGCTTCTATACCATTTATAAACTAAAATATCTAAAATACATTTAAGCGAAACACTGCACTAGCTTCTTGTCAGCGTTTGATCCTCTAAATATATGAGACCTACGACTAGTATGATCTACATTATTGTTAACCTTATAGACTAATATGCTCAACATGCTACTGAAGCCGCATTCATACAAATAATTATAAAAGAAAAATTATTACTCTTTATGCTCAATTGTTTTCCTGTCCCAAATATAAGTAAATTACATCGAGTTGGACTCAACAAAAAAAACTGCAGAAATCCTTCAAAAGCCTTTGTCTATGCAACTTAAACTAGCACTTCTACCAAAATCAAATTCTAATAAACTACTCAACTTACATAACATAATTAAATTATTAATATTACTTAAATTAGCTAATTATTGTAATCAACATTTTGTATTCGATCAAAACCATTGAGATGTTATGAGGGTATCATATGGTTATTTTTCTCTATTGAGAATAGATATGATGAAAATCATGAAAATATATTTTGGTTATTTTTAACTTGCACATAATAACCCATTAAGATAAAGCTCTCTTACTTCTTGAAACTTTTTTTTCAACCTATCGCTTCAAAGCTCATGCACTTGCTAGAAAAATACCAAAGGCCAACATATCCAACAATTGCACATACAATCCTAACTGATCAATCTGTTATAAAGTATTATTTAGAAAACCCGATAATAAAACATACTTTCATCCTCTTACTTAGTATTCATTCTTAGTACTTAATTAAAAAGAAAATTACATACTGTAGAATATGTATAAACTTATAGTTCCTCAAATTTAAAGAAGTTTAATTACAGCAAAATATTAATCTGTTTATTTTTACAAGCACTTAAAATCAATAATTTTGGATTGCGTTTCACTCAAAACAACCCTTTTTTCATAGTGATTATTTAAAATATATATTAGTCAAATCAAGGCGACTTGTAGTTATCAAGTAATTGAAACTCATTGTTCTTGCTAGCTCAATTTAATTCATTATATTTAAAATAAACCTTTAAGCACAAACAACCTCTATACGTCTGCATTTATCCACAGCCAAATATGAATTATAAAAAAAATAGTATATAAATAAATTAATATTATACATAGAACATAAGAGTTGATTGACAAATGCTTGATAATAACTAAAAGTATATTTCCTTGATATACACGTAATAAATATTTACGTATCCTAATATGTTACGAAGAGATTATTCATAAAAATGTGTGCTGTGCTATTTTTACACTATAGGTACTATGCATTTAGAATGAAATAATTTTATCATAATTTTTGCAAATAGATACGTTAAAATTTGAGGCTCTGAAGGCTCCAAGATATACGATAAAATCAATG